ATAAACTTCCTGAGCATAAACTCCACTTTCTTTATAGTCACCTGGACCGGATGATTTAGGAAATATGAGCGAAGAGCCTTGTGGAATGATGTTATCAAGGTCTCTGGGATACGAACACGATATCTGCATGACTATTGCTGATCTATATTGCCACTTTTCTAAGCTACACATAAGAGAAAGACTAAACCAAACTTTTCAAAACTTGATCAATTTAAATTGTTAATTAATGAGTGTTTTTTTCTGGTTTGAACGAAACTCAAAAACTAGAACTGATACAAAAATTCTGTTTATATATTTGAGTTTAGGATAACATATGTATTCTGCAACATATGTACTGTAAACCAGTGTAATCTTCCAAAATATGTTTTAATTGTTTGACGTACATGTTTATTATTCACTTTATCCAAATATTTTGAATGTCGCACGTCTGCACCTTATTTCTTATCTATATAATAACAACTCACGTGCATCGTAGTATGTTTTTATTGTACGTCATGAATGACGAGTGTAAACACAGGGTATCGGCCACTAATTGTGAATTAAAGATCCAAAAGAACGGAATATTAAAGTTATAATTACTGATACTTTTTTTAAGTAGAATTGAACACAATTTTATAAAATGTTCATTTCCAATGTATGGGATATGATTTTCAATTCAAAGAACTATTTCAACAGCATTTAATGAAATATCAAGTCTGAAGCCAGAAGTTTCCAAAATTTCAAATTCAGAATCAGAATATGAAAAAAAAACTTTTTGGCTCTTCACTTATTCATCACTAAACAAAGAGTGTGGTAAATTTCCAAAGGAAGGAAGAAAAAACATTACAATGGAAATTCTTTACATACACAGAAATATTTTTCTGATAAAAATTTGAGAAAAAATTTTTTGACTTTCTTCATACCAAATATGTGGGAAAATTACGAAGAAAGGAAGATGGAGATGTAGAAAGCCAAAATATTTCTTTCCCAAAAATGTCCATGTTGGTGTATCAGAATGTCTAATATGAGTCTGTTGCAATTTCGACACAATATTTATTTCTTCTTTGAGCTTAGAGTGAGTTTTACTGGTACCCTTTTATTTTTGAACGGGTTAACTCAAAAAATTGAAATTTGATATAATAGAATTAAGTGAAGTGAAATTGACAGATTAAACTTTCAAGATGGCGACTGGGCGCCACCTGGGAAATAAAAAGCTCCTGACAAATGCTTCACAACCCTACATTGTAATGTCAGTAAGTATCTTCAACTGCTACAAAATGGCGGAACTTTTAATAATTGCATGAATACATTGACATTTAACTACATAATATGATGTAATAAGCTTGAGGTCAGTTCAGAAGATGCTCTAAATGGTTGCCTTGAACTTCTTGACATTTGAACAGCCTATCCGATATTTCACAGCGAACATTGTCGAACACAGTAACGTCAATATCTCTACAAATAACTTGTTCGATTGATGACTTATTCCAACGACCGGGAAAAGTAGTATCCAAATAATTTCTTACTTGTCTGTAGTAATGTGGTGGTGCTCCATCTTGTCGGAATACAATATCCATATCGAATTCATTAGGATTCGCTTCGACGATTTCAGTGATGAGAGGGTCAACAGTAGTTTCCAGCATATTCAAATACAGTTCCCCTGTTGAATTTTGATCAGTAAATAGAGGTCCTACTATATGGTTTCCCAATATTCCTGCCCAAACGTAAATTTTTCTGGATATTGAGTATGTGTTTCCCGGAAAACGTGAGGGTTGGTGTCACTCCAATAACGGCAATTTCGTCGTCTGAGAACATTGCCGTTAAAAATTAATGTACATTCGTCACTAAAACAAGTATTGTGGAGATAGGTAGGATGCCTTGCAATGGTTTGCGTCATGATTTCGCAGAATTCTATTCTTCGATCAGGGTCATCTTCAGTTAATTAGTGTACCATTTTAATTTCATATGGATGACGCCTATTCCTCTTCAAAAGTCTCCACACATTAGAAGGAGACACTTGTTAACGTGGTACCTTTCTACTAGTAAAACCGAAAACTAAATGAGAATATTCTAACTGAACAATGATGTTCATTGTCGTACTGACATTTATTGTCGTTTTTATAAAGAAAAAATAACTTAACAAACCTTATGGGGTTGTTGGAATTGCCATGTGGCAGATAAAAATGAATAGTTCAAAATATATCGATATCAATGTGTTTGTCTTCAGGAAATTATTAAATGTTCCGTCATTTTGTAGTAGGTGAAGATATTGACTTCATATTCTAGAGTTGTGAAGTATTCATCAGGAGCTTTAAAATGATGTGTCACAAGACCCCCTTTTTCATTCATTTTTTTTTTCCGGTTGGGGTCCGTTGGCCTTTTTGGGAAGTTTTCTTTTTTCATTTTCCTTTCAAATTAAGTTTTTCTTGCTTCATTTTCTTTTTTTCAATTTTCATTTTTTTGGTTTGCCCGTTTCAAAAATTAAATTGGGTGGGGGGCATTAAAGAAATGCAGTGTATTTTCAGATAGTCCTGGAAATTGAGGTACAATGTTAGTTGTGAAAAGTGCCGGTGGTCGGTAATTGTCGTATGGGTTTTTCACTACCACTGAAATCGAATACTATTTTGAAATAAATCAAATATGAATGGCCAATTGCTTAAATTGTCCAAAAATGAAGCTGCTTTGATTAAAACTCAGATAATGTTTTATCCAATTTTTCAGTAACACTGTTTTATAAATTTTGCCTCTATACTTCAAAGCACAAAATTAGATGATTTCAAAATGATTATTTCTCGACAAGTTGGATAAAATATTATCTGAAATCATCCGAATGCAGAAGCATTTTTAGTCAAAGTCAGTGGTCCACTATTATCTTGCTGTGATGGTCGAGAAGAAGTACATAAGGCTTATTAGCATGTATTAACCAGAGGGCACTTCTCATGCTCCACAACGGATTCAAAATCTCCCCGAGCGTAGGGCAACCCTGGCGTCTCGTCAATACCGTAAAAGAGCTGTAGGTAGTAATAAAACACGTTATAACGATCGATATAGGCTGGCACCGCATATGCTGGACATGCTGACACCAAAAGCATATTAGATTCTCATGCGCCTCACGGCAGGCAGTGCACCTTGTGTCAGGAACCTCTATACCCATCACGCGACTACGGTAGACTGAAGTGTTATAGGCACTATCCAGGCAGGTCATGATGAACCTCTCAGTTTCTGGCTCCAGCCCAGTCGACCTGACTGTCGCGAGGGTCAGATGCTTTGATAAAAAAAAGTCTTCAATGTGAACATGGCGATGGTAATTCACCAAACTATCATCATTATTATTATTTCCTTTAGGTTACGCTGTTCGGGTCCTATCCCCCAAAGCCCCGATACATTCGGGAGGGCGTGCCAGCAGTATCAACCAATGGCCACACCGTTGGGTGAGTGATCATTGGGTCCGAGAATCATGCGCAGTGAGCCAAGAATGACAGCATTCTGCATTTGCCAAGCTAGAGTTTCTGCCTCAGAGCGGCAAGCCAGCATAGTTTTTTAAGATTCAATAGTAGAGTGAGCATCATATCACCAAGGACTCCTATAATCAAAACAGCCATCTTGACAGAGGGATCTGGATAGAGTCTGTGTAGTTGGAAAAAATGATCTCGATATCTTATCCGGTTTTTTTTTCGTCTCTTCAGGAGCTGAGAACTCCACAGATACGTCTTGCTCTGACAGTCGAGAAAAACTAAAATAGGTTTCTAGCAGCCTACACAGATAGAAACCTGGTTCGCCAAACTTGGTTCGCACTAACCATGTTCGTCATTTGTTCCCGTGTATGTGGTGTGTAAGGAACCAAGATTGCCATAATTTCCTACGAACTTGGTTTTCCATCGGATTAGAACACATTTGTTCGGTTCACTGGCAGTTCGTCTATGTGTGGAGGATGGGAACCATTGTTTGCCATTTTCCCCAGTGCTTGTGGTAACATGGCACACGGAAACCTAAAATCCTCCAAGTTTCTTCCAGTAGCTTGGTAGCGAAGTGTATAAACTATGCGATGTTCGGCCGATATCGACTTTCTCATGTGAGTTGTTTTGATTTGTAGGGTGTCACAAGTTCCAATAAATTATTGAATCATTGTTGAATAATTGGTATAAGATGATATTAGAGATTGAGGTTAGGCCACTTCTCTCTCACGAAGCCACTGCTTGGTCCATTGCGATCTTTTCTTCTTCTTCCTTGTAAAATTCCTAAACTCATATAATACAACAATAGTAGCTGCAATCTTAGAAGAACTCATCCCAACTGCTCTAATGAAACTGGTGAAATGTCGAACCGTTGTTCACATTCCCCTCTACTGTGTGTAGGGGTGACTAACCAAGAACTTTGTTCGCTGAATTTGGTTCGACAAACCAAGTTCTTAGTTCCCATGTGTGTAGGCCGCTTATTAGCTTGTGTGAGCCTGAGGGTGAGGAACGAATAGTTCCAATAATTTGGTACTTCTCGTTCCATACAAAAGATTCAATATCCTCCGGAACGTAGGGCAATAGCGGTGTATCGTCATTACCGTAAACGTGCCGTGGCTGCTAATAAAGCACTCTTAGGGGCGCATCAAAACGATGGATATGGACTGAGGATTATTATTTTTCTTATTATCATTATTATTATTATATGGCTGTCAGACCCTATTTCCGATGCCCTAATTTATACGAAGGGCGAGCCAGCATCATCAACCAATGACAACTCTCCTCACTCAAGATAAATGATCATTGGGTCCGAAAGGCATGTACTCTGAGCAGACGCAATGAACCAAAAATAACAGCCTTCTGCATCTGCCCAGCCAAGATTACTGTCCTAGTGCCGCAAGCCAGCATGATCTCGACATTCGAGATTATGTATCTTATTCGTTATTATAATTATGAATGAACGATATTTCTAAAAAAACTTTCCTATCAGAAGCTAAGGAAATATCCGCCAGATATCGGCAACGTTGCAATCAGTTGTTCCTCGGTTCTATTTCCCCAGCCATTCCACGCTAGAGAATCCAGTCCTCGATAAATTCGCGTTAGAAGTTTACTGACTCACTAACAGCTGATCGTTGGTTACGTTAATGACAGTAGCTTTGTTCTTACTACTTGAATTTAAACAAAGGTGAATGGTGGTTTGATTATTGTTTTTGTTGGAATACAGACGGACTTATGAGGTGAGTTTGGAGTTGACAATGCATTCAGGATACAGAAGTCATGGCTCTTTGTTTCTACCCATGCATATTTTGGGGTTTACCATATATTTGACTGCAACAACATTACATCATGAAACAGCCCTGCTTTCAATGATTAAGGGCAGTTGTAGTAGCGATATTCATTAACAAATTGCTTGATTGCTTCATTCAGTTGTCATGATCCAAACGAAATTCACTACTTTTCGAATGAATGATTAAATAATTGAAAAACAAAGATATACGCATGTTGAATTGTAAATTGTAACAGTAGACACCAAGGCGCCTGTAGTTAGTTCTCCAAAGCAAGAGGTTTGTAATTTTTTTACCGATCAATCACAAATGTATAAATTTCAAGTGAATGCTAGATTTCTACAAAAGTAGGTAATATTTATATCAAACTCTGCCGACGTTGAAATTTAATCAGATAAAATCGAATCAATAAAAACGTAGTTAATAAGTAAGTATGAATGAATTACCATTCTCTTTCAAAAGCGAAATAAGCCAAAGTTAGCTGCTGAAATTTCCGATGGTTCCCAAACACTCAGTGGCGTACACTATTCATTCTTGAAAAGCTTGATACACCTACTGATGATTTGCTACATGACCCTAATGATTTTTTAATTTCTTACTTACATTCAAAAAGAGATATTTTCGAAAATGGTTTCTTTTTCATCAATTCACAACCGACTGCCATAAAGAAATATTCCGAAAGGTCTCCATACTCTTGAAAGAGCAAAATTGTTATTTGCAAATGAGGACTACAAGATATGTAAGTGAAATTTTTTCCCCTTCATTTAGTATATTGTGTAGTAATCCTGTGAATGATATCTGATTAGTCACTCCTAAACATGTAACCCCTTTAATTCAAGATATAAGAAGTATTATGTTAATTTCTATTGTTGTTTTTACATAATACAGCACTTTTAATTGTTTCATCTATCAAGTTGATACTGTGGATGCATTATTACAATAGTGCAAATATCATTGATAAGCCTGGATAAAAGTCTCTAACTAATGCATTATCCTTCATTGTGTATAATGTATAATATCGCTACTAATCTGAAACGAAGTTTAGTGTAACATCAAGTTTGTGATCTAGTTTTTTAATGCAAAATATTAATTTGACATCAGAAATCGTTCGTTCCTTGCGGACTATCGGAGTTACATTAATTTCAAAATAAATTTATTTGTCAGATAAGTTTTTAAAAAATCATTCAACAGCACTGTGTTCCCTTGAGGTATAAAATACAAAATATGATTGGAAATATAAACGTAACTTGAGCGTAAATGTATTGCAACTATAACTGATTCATTTCGCCACGCAGAACGTATTTATAGTAAAATAAATGATTATATAGTCTGGAAGTAAAACAAAGAAAATGAAGGTCCTTTGTGTCATTTGGAAACTGCGTATTGCCGGATGTGGATTCAGCAAAGTCAACATTGACATCGATCCATGTCACTTTGGGTATAAAACAACATATATACATTTCAATTTCAGAAATACTAGAGATTCGTGATTAAGCACATTCACGGATATTTTTGCAATATTTTGAATAACAATGATAATTGATTTTTCTGTTGTGAATATTATCAGCTTTGATTCTTAAACATACAGAAACATCTGCATATTGACAGTTTTTGGTTCTATGTGTAATTTGTTCTGATTCATAATCGATAGATTCAAAACTTTCTATAATTCTAGTTTTTTTTTCATTATTGTTTATATTACCAAGCTGAAACAATTTCAGAATATCTTTTTAAATCAGTTATCGGGTTAAATATTCAAGAAACACTTCATTGTGATATTTTCACTAAACAGTTTTACAAAAACACATCACATGTTTCACTATACAATGACTTCTTCAGGCGTGACTTCACTCACCCTCCTGAAAAGGATATAGCTGAACACGTGTTGCTTTTTTCTGAAACTGTTTAGTGAAAATCTCACAATGAAGTGTTTCTTGAATACTTTATGGATTTTCATCAAGTATTGGCCGATACCTGACTAGAGAATTTGAAGCTTTCATTTCTAACAAATATAACTAAAACGTGGTGATCAGGTAAAACATTTTAATTGAAGTGTATGTAATACTTTTTTCAAATTTCAAAACGTTTTCCATTATTTTTTTCAATAGAGAGGTTTTCATTTTACGCTTCATGATATCCAGAAAATTTTTACTTATCGCTGAAAACTCATTTAAAGCCATTCCCATTCCCAGTATTTCATTGAAAATTCATTAAATCCATGCATTGACTAATTTAGACATATTTCCCATTTCCGCGATGTTTCATAATTGTAAAAAATGTTACGTTAGAATACAAAAATTTAAAATTTTAAATATTTCACCAGACCTCTCCACCATCTGTCATCTCGTGATGTTCTTTTTCTGTGAATGCTGGATATCAAAACGACTGTATCTCCAATTAAAATGTCATATGAAAAAAGTAATTTTCGTGTTCAACATAGAAGTCCCAATTTGTGAGTAATAATTTTGCTATTTTGAGAATCTGGGGACCTATTGAGAGATTATTCATTATATCTTGTTGAGGCATTCGGTTGAGAAATGATAAAAAATTAATTCCGAAAATTTACTTTTATGATTTCACGACATAGTATCATCCATTCGCCAATAATACTATAGTGGTACTCATCGACAAGTAATAAATACTATATTGAATATATTCTAACCTGCCATTAGGCCTGTTGAAAGTGTATTTCACCCAAATATCGATAGTTTCACTTGAAAAAATAATTATTCATTTTTCCTAGAGAAAAATTAATTTTCTTCTGTCCATTTGAATGTCGTTTTTGTAATTCCCATCAATGGAAAATAAGTTTTGTCTGCAGCAAGTCACAATGGTTATGTAAGCAAATCATCGATAAGTGTATTACGCCCCTCAAGATTGAATGGTGTACGCCAATGAATGTTCGTGAATCGTCGGAAATTTCAGCAACTCACTTTGGCAATCAACTGCACATTGCTTTTTTTATTTAGCCATGTTAATGTTCAATTCTTCTCATGCGGTTTCCGTTATTAGTGAGGTCAATGAAATTTACTTCAATTTATATCCATGAATCACTATCATGTCATCACTGATTCTATTAGTGGTCAAATAAATTGACAAAATATTTGTCTTTGTAAACTTCTATAATAAGTGCTGCATAATCAAAACTATTTTGTTGTCATGATGAGTTTCTTGAATGAGTTCTTTCGTAGAATTGTTGATAGTACCTGAAATGGTATCGTCAAACAATTCGATGAAGTCATATTTGATCCTTATAAAAATTAACAAGTTATTTTCGCGGAAATCATGTTCGGTCAAAAAGTTTATCCACACTTCAAAAACATTGACTATTGATTATAGAGAATATTTCATTACAAATTCTGAAAAACACAAAAACGCTAAAAGCTTTCGAAATTATATGATATTCTCGTTGACATAATTCTCCGAAACATTGTTCTTACGTCAGTTATTCTTATAAACATTAAATACTCTGCTATTATTAAATCGTATGACAAAGCTTCAGATCTTACAAAGATTGTTATTGTGTCTCTATTCTAGTGATACAGTTTTCTTACGCAACTTTCAACGTCCTAAAAGTTTCTTTCTATTCAAACATGTAAATGATTTTTTTCATCATCTGTTTTCTTTGAAAAATAGCCATTATTCTGATTGATTATGATTACTCTGATTCTGATTACTAGATGAAGATCCATAGTCCATAGTACTATATGGGCTGAAAAGTTTGTGAGTCTAGGGTCTAAGTTATAGATGGCTCTAGTCTCATTGCATTCACTGCTTTTTTAATTAGTACTAACCTTTAAAAGAAAGCTGTTGAAATTTCATGATATTCTACGATCTACGAATAAGTTTGTTAGTTATTGTGCTAAGAGTGACACTACTTTTGTTATTTTGAAAACAATGGATCAAAAACAATGTCGTGTTTTGATTTTCTACTGCTTCTTGATAGGAAAATACCGCTTAAGGGAAGCAATGGCTTGAAAAAGACTCCGCCCATCAGAAACAGCATTTAATCATTGGGTTGCCGACTTTAAACGTGGTCGTAGAGATACCGATGATGCAGAACGCAGTGGACGTCCAAATGAGGCAGTGACACCAGAAAACATAAAATATATAAAATCGTTTTGAATGATCGAAAAGTGAAGTTGCGTGAGTTAGCTGACATATTAAAAATTTCATGAGCATTTGACTGTGAGAAAGCTCTGTTCCAAGTGGGTGCCGCGAGATCACTGTTCACCGAAAACAAAAACGTCTTGATGATTCTGAGCAGTGTTTGGCCATCTATAAATATAACAAACCGGAATTTTTACGTCGATATGTGACAATGAATGAAACATGTATCCAACTTCACTACGGAATCAAAACGATAGTCATCTGAGTAGAGAGCAAATGGTGAACCTCGTCCAAAAAGCCCGAAAGCACAACAATCGGCTGGAAAGGTCATGCTTTCGGTATTTTGGGATGTGCGGGGTGTAATATTCATTGACTATCTTGAGAAGAAAAATACCATCAACAGTGAATATTATATAGCGTTATTGGAACGTTTGAAGGCCGAAATGGCAAAGAAATGACCGCATATGGCAAAGAAAAAAATGTGTTTCATGAAGACAACGCACCATGTCACAAGTCAATCAAAATAATGGCAAAACTATATAAATTTAACTTCGAATTGCTTCCACATCCACCGTATTCGCAAGATCTGGTTTCCAGCGACTACTGGCTGTCCGCAGATCTCAAAAAAATGCTTACCGGTAAGAAATTTCACTAGAATGAAGAGGTTATTACTGAATCTGAGGCCTATTTTGAAGCAAAAGATAAATCGTTCTACAAAAGTACTTTTGAAATGTTAGAGCGGCGCTGAAATAATTGTGTGGCTCTAGTTCATGAATAAAGCCAATTTTTAATAAAGAAAATCGTGTTTTCTTTCTCAGCCCAGGACTTTTCAGCTCGGGTAT